AATTCAGCCATCATTCATTTTATTCTTTACACCCACTGAAAGATGAAAAGAGCCTTTTATAAAGAGGACTGTGGATTATATCCTAACAAACACTTTTGACCACATAACCAGTGTTTTCAAGGTCACTGATTTAGGTGATTTTCTCTTTGTGTTCCTCATTGTCCAAATTCAAATTAGGCTCCTAACTAGGATTCAGATAGTATGAACCGCTGTAGATTAACGAGTCTGAAGCGTATTTACTTGGAGCAGCTGCTGGGATTTTATTTGTATATTTCAGATCTAATATGCTGAGGGGAAGATGTGCTGGCGCAGCACTTTGGGTGATGCCCTTTAATGCGCTCTATCTTATCAGCCCAGCATCACCCCTATTCAAACCAGTGTCTGATTGAGCAGTGTGATGTTGTTTGCGTCTTACATTGGGAATAGTTTATAGAAGCACCGTCTCTAATTTGTGAAGTGAGGTATTATAGAGGAGACAATTAGACCGAGGTTCGATTGGCGTATAGAGGCTTGGATGCTGACAGTCAAGAGAAGGCTTTCAAATGTCATACCAATTAATCTATCCAGCCATCAAACAATATTCTGGAAACAAAGTCAGGGGGGGCGATCAATCCGCATCACTTTTCTCCTCACCGGGTTATGGGAAAATTGATTTGTCAAACAAAGCATTTTGGAAGCAGTGCATGGACTTGTTCGGGATCCATTAGCCTCCATTGAGCATTTTGTTTAACATAGGATTTTCATCACAGAGAAAATGCAGTGTCCTCAATACTGTGAGCTACAACTTTACGATTTCTGATTTCTTTGTTCTTGCTTAGAAAGCTTTAGAAAGTGCTGATGGCGATTGAAAAGGGCTGACTTCTAATGCATTTGAAAATATTAGGCTGTTGTTTTCCCTCATATATTCATCAAAACGGTCAAGAAACGCTTTCGAATGGTATTAATACGCTACACAAAAGAACAGTATAATCACTCCCCTTTCATCCAAAAAGCATCAGGCATTAGTCCCCAGTATCAGTATTATTGTACACTGTGGGGCTATCCTGCCATCCTATACAGCATGGCTGTCCTAAGCTGTATCATGAATTCCCTGTGCAGTGTATTGTTCTAAGACAGAACTGTATCACATTGTGCCCGTCATGCTGTTTTAGAGGGGAGAGAGCTTCCTCTATGGGATTTCTCCCAGCCCCATCCCCTGATAATGTATCTCTCCCTAAAGGCTAGGCCTCCGTGACCTTGTCTTATTCATCGAGGGCGTCTTAAGCGAAAGAACTGAATCCTGAATGGGCCATTTCCCCTCTTTTAACACCCCTTTAATGTCATCAGTGAAATATGAAGTCATTAGGCGATATTAAAACACTGCTGACAAACTAATTAACGGGAGACATTAAACAGGACGGGCTTGATTAATCCGCTTTAACGATTCTTTTTAAGTGGTTCTGGTCAAAATTAATACAGATTTACTGGTGATCTTAAGAAAAAAATAGTCTTATGTGTATCAGACCTCAAGGGCAACCTAAAGTCACTGGTCTTTTACCCCCTCCCACCCTACCCTCTCTCTTTCTAAACACTTTCTAAACTCACACAGTTGGTTCCTGAGTCTCTGACAACAAACTATGTGCTGTACGGACACACAGGCTGATGCTTTAGGCCTCTCCTCAAAGATTTTTCAGGCTTTTTTGATTTATTGTTTCATATGGAATGGAGTGGTCATACTGTTTAAATCATTTTGTATTACTTCAATTAGCAACCAGAAAAAATGTACATGAGATATGAAATATTTTCAGAGCTGTAAATTACTGAATTAATAACTCGAATTAATATTATCTTTATTTTGATTATTATAATTAATATTGTTTTTGTTGTTGTTGTCTTTTCATATGAGGCACAGGCCGTTGCTGATTTATTTTTGTATATGTCTTTGTAAATGTCTCCCTCTTGTGGTAAAAGCACAGATCCAGGGTCAACTGCTCAGAGTCATGTCTTTGACAGACAAAACAGCGAATAGTCAGAAATCAACTCTAAACATGTTCTTTAACTTTATTTTAAGCCCTTCTGTGTTGCATTTTCACATTATACTATTTATTTTATTTTTTGTATGCATTAATTATCACAATATATTTACTAGTAAAATCCACATCTGACCCGAGACCTTTCTTTTTTAATACTTTATTGGACAACCATCGAGCTTTGGCATTAGACTATGCAGAAAACGTGGATTTGAAAGGGAACTACTACTATACTACTATTACTAATCATTAATAGTAATAATAATAGTAATAATAATAATATGAAGAGGAAGAAAAGAGGAATGCTATACGAACCAACCCTCCCCCGAAAAACGTTATAAATCAAAATATCTATTTTTCCATTTCATCATAAAATAAATGTTAAACAATATAATCACAATTCAATCTTGCAGAGGGAAATACAAAAGGAAAGTGCATATATATATATACACTTATATTATATTATACTATTATTATTAATATATACTTGTTTTTTGTGTAACAAATACGTAAAGCCTTGAATTAAAAAAAGTAATAATTGGTTTTGTTTAAAAAAATTGAATTTGTGAATTAAAGTTTTTTCATAATAGAATGCATTTTTTAAAGTAATAAAATAATTTTAAAATAATAATATTAGCGCTCCCGGAAGCGGTCACCGATGACACGTGACGTATTTCCGCTCTCGGTGTGTTGAAGTGAGGCAGCAGCGGCTCATCGATACCACTGTTTCTAAACGTGTTTGTAACATGCTTTCACAAGGCTGAACTTGCACATTTGTTTCGCCAACAGAGAGCTGTTTCTCACTACAGGTGTGACCTTTATAATCTGTGTTTAATGCGGCCTGGCCCGGTCAGGAAATGGCTGTGTAACGTTAACTATCGGTCAGCTTTAGCTCGTAGCTTAGCCACTCGGGCTGTATGTGAGCACAAAGGCCGTGTACACATCCTCGCCTTCTGATAATGTACCCCTCCTGGGGAAATTTTGGTGGACCCCAGTCGCAAAACTATGGAGCCCCGCCTGGGCCCCGTAAGCCGGGTGGTGGAGGAGGGCACGCCGGCCCGGCAGCGGGGTTCGGCGGCTTCGAGGCTCCATCCAGCGGCTCGCTGTTCTCCAGCCTGCAGGAGCAACACCTCCAGCAGATGCAGCAGCTGCAGATGCTGCACCAGAAACAGCTCCAGTCTGTGTTACATCACGGCAGCAACGCTAATGCTTACGGCGGTATTCACTCAGGTGGGATTTCAGGGACACAGTGGCACCCAGAAGGACCAGGACATTCAGAAAGTGGTGTTGGGGCTCCGTCGTTTTATAAACAAGACGAGACTCCTGGTCAGCCGGCGAGAGCCCCCGCTGCTCCTCAGCAGGGTCACCCACAGCAGGGTCACCCACAGCCTCCTCCACTTCCACCGCAACCGCAGCCCAACGATCCCCAGCCGGGTCCTCCCCCTCCAGAGCCCCCGTCAACAAAGCCCCCGGAGAACAGTGCTCCCAAAGAGGCCAACAACAAACCTCCAGCCTCGACAGAAGACGACAAATCATTAGCTTTGCAGGTAATGTCCAGCCAGCATTTATGATACAGTGGGAGAGAAGTGAGGAAACAACTGAAAACCATGTAACTGATAATGGCATCTGAGAGTATGGAACTAAATCATACACAGGCTGAACCAGTACAACTAGGATAATATTTTCTAATCCAGACTACCAAAGTCTCAAACACATGATCACTGGCAGTGGGAATTAGGAATGTCTCAAGTATCTGCAGGAAATGGATCAGGACTAATAAGAGTTATTTTTTTAGTGTATTAATGTCTGCTGGTTTATGCACCAGCTGTTAAATATACCAAATATTAATACTGACTGAACTTTGTTGCAGAAGATTGATGCTCAAGTGTTGTTCCCTGTGATCAAAGACTATCAACAAATAATTTCATAATCCAAGAGTAGGTAATGAGTGAAAGTGCTTGAATGTAGATTTGTTAGTACAACGAACAGGGTTCAGTCAGGGCTTGTAAAGGACATGTGTCAGTATGTTTGTGTGCAAGTTACTGGACTGCAGTAAGTGTACAAATGAACAAACGACAAGGGCTCCTTATGTGTTTTGTCTGACACATGTCCTTGTAAATGTTTTACTCAGGAGCAACAGCAACTCTGGTACAAACAACATCTTCAAAACCTACAGAAGTTAAAGCAAGAGAGAGCCAAACAGAATCAGAAAGAGGGTGATGGACCCATGCCGCCCCCACCGCTCCCGGGCCAAACGGTTCCTCCCCCCCCTCCATCAGAACCACCTAAAGGCATACCTCCTCCACCGCCTCCAAAAGAGGAGCCCCCAGCACCACCTCCACCTCCAGACGACATACGGGTAAGAATTCTTAAAATGTTACACAGCTGTTTATGTTCAACTACTTTTACACATTGAATTCTGAGGCTAGCCGCTCAGCTAGCATAACACGCCCAAATCTCCGACTGAACTGTTGGTGGTTGAGTTGCATTGTGGGTAATGTGGGCCCCATGTTTTGACAGGGAATTGATTGCTGTAGTGAGCGACCGAACATTTTCAAATGTATCGGTCTTGTTTTACTGTTTCAGCGCACTGTCAACAATGTTACATCATTGGTTGCAGGATATGGGTGCTTTTTTTCAGTTTTAATTGTTGTGATAAAATATTCTTAATTCACAGGACTAAAAACATTATAGCAGTGCCATAATATGTATTGCTTCTATGGTGATTGCTGTTTCTGCATACACAATACACTTTACAGTGCTGAAGATCATTCTGTAAATCCGTAAAGGAGAAGAATGAGTCTCATATTTACTGGCTGTTTTAAAGCACCTGATCCGTATCTTTTCTTTTGACTCATTTACAGTTTTTCTGTACAGAAATAAATGACACCTCCTTGTTAATCATTTTATTACTGTTTATTGCTTTTTGCAATGTATAGCTTTTTTTTTTTGTTAGTTCTGTATTTAACAGCCTCTAAGAACAAACCAGGTTTTAGATAAGTATACGACAGATAGTAGATTATTACTGGATCTAAACATTGTTTATATTGTTTGCATGAATTTACAGAGTGAAAATGTAGGAAAATCACCTACATTTACAGACACAGTAAGTCCCACCATCCACTCTTCCATCACCATCATGTCCATAGATACCCCAGTTCTTGTGATGCCATGGTATCGATGTGTGAAATGTATTCATCTTTCCCCTTGTGATGGTGATAATGATCTATATAATAATCTATAAAACTATAATAATAATCCCTGATCCCCAGTGTAAATTACGGAAGTGAAATTAATGCACTTATGTATATGTTTTTACCCTACTTTTGTTTGTACAAATGACTGGGAATGATTTTTTAAGTATCTGTGCCAATGTGTGTTTTGGAAACTGTACCAAATAAATAAATTGTATAATGACAATAAATGAGCATACCATCATTTTGTGACAGCCACAGAAAGCTGTTTAACAACTTTGTTTGTTTTGTGTTATGGAAACAATGTGAGCAGTACTAAAGAAGTATTGAGCTTTGATGCCCAGTCCTGTTGGACCAATTGAATGTAAAATATGTTCATAGTAGTGTCTTGCATCCATCTAAAGAAATTGTCATCCTTTCCATCACAAACTACCCTCAGTTATGTCAGAGATTTTCTGTTTGAGTTACAAAAATATGCTTTGCTCTAATCTGGCCTCGTTTATGTTCACAGCCCGAGGTTCCACAAGACCCAGAAGAGGCCGCCCGCCTTCAGCAGTTACAGGCCGCAGCAGCGCAGTGGCAACAGGTGCAGCAGCAGAGAGCAGGTTTACAGTACCAGGCTCTCATGCAACAGCATGAAAAGCTTCAGCAGATCCTGGAAAAATACCAACAGCTTATTCAGCAACCTGCAAACCTACAGGTATGTAAATGGTAGTTTTGTTGACAGCTAGTCTCTTCCTGGTTGTTTTCCCTGGTCTAAAGATGACCTGTACAGGAAATGAAAGGTGAAAAAAAAAAAAGCATAGTATGTTTAGTGGAACCAAAAGAGGGTATAAGAGTGAGACCCATAAGTTTTCATTTTTACATGGAGTGTAAAAGTAAAGTGATTTCTTTGTTCTATATGTGCATATATGATAATACCTGAACCAAAAATAAAACATTTTCTCACTGTCCTTTATTGCAGTCAATGTCTCCTGAGATGCAGCTGAGGCACTATGAAATGCAACATCAGCAGTTTACGGCTTTATTTCAAGACTGGGACCGCACCTTCGTTCTGTGGTATGAACAGTTCCAGACCTATCCTCATAAAGACCAACTGCAGGACTATGAGCACCAATGGAAGCAGTGGCAGGAGCAGATGAATGCCACCAATGCCCACCTTCAAGAAAGGGTGGCGGCTCTCACTGCTATGGTGCCATTTGCGTCAAGCCAGTATAATAGTGGGATGATCGGACAATATGGCCAGTTCCCTGGACAAGACGTACAAAAACAGCAGCAGTCAGTAAAACCGGGTGTGGAGCATTCCCCTGTTGCTGCTGGTCCCAGATCTGAAGGTCCACGACCCACTGGCTTTGGGCAGAATTCAGAATCGCCTGCTGGACCCCCTGTGAGAGGAGGTGGCCCTGCCAGCTTGGTCAGACCCCCAGGCCCTCCCAGTGTTCAGCCACCAAACTTCAACAGCATAAGAGGTCCACGGTCAGTAGGCATTGTACTGCGATTGGCATTTTAGATAAAAAATTGTGACAGTTGTATGTTGCAATTGATTTTCCAAAGAAAAAATGTTTTATAAAATCAGTATTGAATTCAGATGAGCTATTGAAATTATGAATTACAGTACCTCATCTTTACATTATGTCATGTTTTATATTGCTATTTAGCTAATTAATTAAGTAATTAATCACTGAGTTTCTCAAAATCAAAGCTTATTTTAATAATGATGTTTTCTTACCATTTCTGTTCCTTCTGTTTCCAGTGGAAACAACCCTAGATTTGATCAGCCACAGCAGCGCTTTGATGGTCCCCCAAGGTTCGACCAGCCACAGCAACGCTTTGATGGGCCCACAAGGTTCGACCAGCCACAGCAACGCTTTGATGGGCCCCCAAGGTTCGACCAGCCACAACAGCGCTTTGATGGGCCCCCAAGATTCGACCAGCCACTGCACCGCTTTGATGGTCCCCCTCGATTTGACCAACCGAGGCACCGCTTTGATGGTCCCCCCAGATTTGACCAACCACGGCAACGTTTTGATGGTCCCCCAAGATTTGACCAACCTCGGTTTGGGCAGCCGCCTAGGTTTGAACGGCACCCTGGTCCCCCTCCTCGTTTTGAACGGCCACCGGTCCCCCAACAAATACAACAGCAAGGTCCCCCACCTAATACAGAACTAGCCACTAAACAACCTGCCAGTATTGACTCTAAGACTCCAGGAAAATCCGCTGGGCAGCCACAATCTGAAAAACAAAAAAGTGAATCAGAAACCGATAAGAAGACCAAGCCTGTAGACCTGACAGATGATAACTTACTAGGAGCTGATGGCTTTTTTGTCCAAGATGACCCCATTCCTCAGACATTAAAAATAAACTCAGAGCCTGCCGAACCTGATGGCAATAAAGCGCCTAACAGCAGTGAAAAGCCCAAACCTGTTAACAGCAAGCCCATAACTACTCCTTCTACTGTAGCACCAAAAAATACTGCTGCACAAAATCCCCTCAAACCAGATGGACCATCGACAAACAGCAAACCCCCACCGGCTCCGAAGCCCCCTGGAATCCAACAGGAGCCGCAAGCTTCTGGCCCAATACAGTCAAGAACAGATCCTCCAAGGCCTCCTCCTGGTAGGGGACGAGGCCAGCCCCCAGGCCAAGTGCATGGACGAGGACGTGGCCAGGGCTGCGGGGAGTTCAGTGGACCGAACACTGGACCAATGGGGGAGAAGATGGGAGAAATGTCTTATGACTACATGCCACCTCAAGAGGACTTGGGGATGCCAGCAGAGCAGGCAGAGTATCACTGGCAAGATCCTTCATATGAGGAGTGTGGTGGTGGAGAATCGCAGGTGCCCCCTGAAGAAATGTGGATGCCAGAGGAACATCACTTCCCAACAGACGACGACTATTATGAAGAGTCAATGGGAGGACCCCCTATGGGAAGAGGAGGTCCCCCAATGATGAGAGGAGGCCCCCCAATGATGAGAGGAGGCCCCCCAATGGGCCGAGGTGGACCGCCTATGGGCCGGGGTGGACCGCCTATGGGCCGAGGGGGGCCGCCTATGGGCCGAGGGGGGCCGCCTATGGCTAGAGGAGGACCACCACCAATGGGAAGAGGAGGACCACCGCCCATGGGAAGAGGAGGACCACCTCCAATGGGAAGAGGAGGACCACCCCCCATGGGAAGAGGAGGACCACCTATGGGAAGAGGAGGACCACCTATGGGTAGAGGAGGACCACCTATGGGAAGAGGAGAGCCAATGGACAGACACTGGGAAGAACCTGAGTCAGCAGAGTACTCAGAGGAAGGGAATCCTTACTGGGGAGAAAGGAGACCACCAATGAGAGGCATGAGACCCCCGTTTCCACCTGGCCGGGGTCGTCCCCCACGTGGCCATCCTGGTTTCATGCACCAAGGACGAGGACGCCCCCCTCACCCACCACATGGGCCAATGGATCATGAGCCATTAGGTCATGGAATGGACACAGATGATACCGAAATGGATCCAGCAAGGCACCCCATGTACCATGGACATGACCCACATAGCCATCCTATGCATCCTGACGCAGGAAGAGGCAGGCATCGCGTGCCACCGCCACCTCATGAAATGATGGATCCTATGGAGGAGCCATTGTACGATGAAGGGATGGAGAGAGATTTGGAGTGGCAGCCACCACATGGTAGAGGCCCTCCGCCGCCTCCACATGAGATAATAGACAGGGGGGGAATAAGAAGGCGGCCTATGGGTCGAGGAATGGCTAGAGGCATGTGGCGGCCAGCTCCAACACATGAGGAATATGAAGAGGGATATAATGAGGGTTACGTTGAGGATTATGGTCACGGGGAATACGGGTATCGCTGGCGGCCACCACAGGACTATCCTCCTGACGACTATCGGCATGAGGCCAAGTACTTTGAGTCCGAATGGGACAGAGAGCGTGCTCCTCCTGAGAGGGACTTTCCCCCTCGCATACCACAGCCAGAGCCTTACAGAGATGGCCATTGGCTAGAGGAAAGAGACAGAGGGCACCCATATGATGAGCATGACAGGGGAAGAGGTGAACTTAGAATCCGTGAATACAGGGATGAGCCTCCATACCGGCAGGAAGAGTCACCATACCCACCACAACCATCTTCAGAATGGGATAGGCCTTCAAGACTTCCTCCACCACCAGAGAGAGGGTATCCCGCTGACTATGAGGATCGCAGAGGTCGCTATGAAGAGCACAGGGAAGAGAATATTTTGGATAAACCTCCATCTTTACCCCTTGCTGCACCTGTCACTAACTTGCCAGAGAGTTCAGGTGATCCACAAGGAACAAGCGGAGCAAATGTACTTGCTCTCTCCCAGCGTCAGCATGAGATCATCTTGAAAGCGGCTCAAGAGCTTAAACTTATAAGGTAACTTTGAGGCTTTCATCATTGGTTAATACATTATATGCGAGGTTCACACAAATTACATTCTGACTTATCTAGAGGAATCTATCTATGCAGATTGCAGTGTTATTGTTTGCCTAGGTTTTGAAATGTTCACCTCTGCCACCCAGAAACAGTTGAGATGAATTGAATATTAATGGTGCTGCTTAAATAATCCACAAATGTCAACAAGTTCAGCCCACATGCCTTTGCATACTGCAGTGATCAAAGTGAATGGCTGTTTTATTAAGGGTGCTCCGATCAGGGTTTTTAAGGCCGATCACTAGAAGCAGTATCGGCTGATACCGATCACAATCACTGGGTCTATTTAAAGCCTTATGTTTATAGTGTATGCACACATATACTTCTGTCTCACACACTGGCTGCCACACCCCCGCCTCTCTCTGCTCCTCTGTCCATATACAGGCTGTATGTGTCTGTTCCGTTACTTTGTTGGTAAGCAGTTTGTTTTATGAAGTTGCCCGAGAAATACAACTCACGTTTTGAATGTTTTCACAGCAGCCGGTGAGCGACGCGGTAACGAGGAGGCCCATTAATAATTTGCATGTAAAACATCCCACAGATAGGCTCTCTCTATGTTTCAAGTGTTTGCAAAATGCCAAAACGAGTCTGTTTATTTTACTTACTTTACTTTATGGTCAAAAACATTTTGTAAAACTTTTAGGTGAACTTAACTTATATTTTTGTATGTCTACAGGGAGTTGCAGGAGGGGAAGACACCTGGTACTGAACCTCAACCTGCATCAGCTGACATCCTGCCTGAGCTTCCTGCAGGTCTTCTTGGTTTGGAGATCCCACCAGAAGTCAGGAATGTTCTGAAGGTAATCTATATCTAGTAATACTTTAGCCCCATTAGTAAGAGTCAATTTCTGTAAGAATGGAGATCATTTACTCTGTCATTTTGTATATAACTGTATATGTATCCTAACAAATCTGTCATCCTTAGGGCATGACTGCAGCTGCAAAGACAACTGTAACAGAGTCTGCGTCTTGGGATAGTAAGCTTTCTGCCACAGATTACCAGTCATCTCTCTCTGCTGCACCCACACCTACAGTAATGCCAAAGACTGTGGATTATGGGCACGGGCATGGTATGAGCAAAGATCAACACATTTTAACAGATGAAACCGGTCAAGTTGTAGGGCTTTGTTGGTGACATTAACGCTCAATGTTTCAGAGCCTGGAGCCACCGTTGAGCGGATCTCTTATGGTGAGAGAATTGTGTTGAGGCCTGACCCACTGCCCTCCGACAGGGGCTATGAAAAAGGTGAGTTTCAGTCCTGTAATTCTTATCTTTCTCCTCTTAAATAGAGCTTGCTCTTGCAATTTTCTAACCATTGTTCATTGATGAACTATTTCATTCTCCTAGAACCTCTTGGTCCCAGAGATCCTTACGGCAGAGACCCGTATTATGAAAGACGATCCGACCCTTACATGGACCGCCGGGAGTATAGTAGAGAGAGGGAATTATACCGAGAGAAGCTTCCTGAATATGAAAGGGAAAGATATGAGAGGGAGCGCTATCCCCCAAGAGAAAGAGATGACAGGTAACGTGTTTCCTCAATGGCTCTAACATCCTTTTTTTCCGAACTATGGGGAAGTGGACTGCTTCCAACCATATGTAATATTCTTTTCTATTTGTCTTTGTTTTGTTTTGTTTTTTGATTCAAGCACACAGTCCGTGGTTGAAGAAAGGTACTATCACATTGTGTTATACATTGTGATTAGTCATTAGTGTGTGCCAGTTTGAAACAAGAAATTTTTGTTTGACGAAATGAAACGTAATAATGTGCCTCCTCTGTGTAGATCTCCACTGGCGCATCCTTTACGCTCAGGATACAGAGAGAGAGAGCGGGAGCTTCGAGAAAAGGAGCGAAGTGGAAGTCGTGATCGAGAAGAACATTATGGAAGGTCTGGCTACGATAGACCTCCGTACGAGCGCTCTGGTCTTGACCGCAGCGGGTCTGAACGTTACGGCCATAGCTCCTCACCTTACGGTATGTTCAATCCTACATCTGTTAACAGACGTGTGTTCACATACTTCACCTGTGTTTGGTAGAGTTTCACGCTTAAGTCAGTTCAGACTTAAGTCATAAATGAATTTCTAATTTACTAAAATGACCTTTGTTGCTTGATAGAGGGTGTAGTCAAGAACAATCTGCAACCAGTAAAAGTAAATCTATAACGGGTAAAAAAAAAAATCCCATTCAGAGAAATACTTTTAATTTCAACTAATATCATACAGTGGACAGAAGAAGTTATCAAGAGGACCGAGGGCCTGCCACTGCACCACCCCTCCCACCTCCACCTCAGCCACCCCCACGAGTCGAGAAGAAGCCAGAAATCAAAAATATCGACGACATCCTCAAACCACCTGGCAGATTATCGCGGCCTGAAAGGGTACTACTTACTGCTGTGATGATTCAGGATGTAACAATATCATATTGTTAGATGTATAATATTGAGTACTCAAGTGGTGTATTTTAACAGATTGTCATCATAATGAGAGGGCTTCCAGGAAGTGGAAAAAGCCATGTTGCAAAACTCATACGGGTAAGTGGAACATAGTGTTATTTATAATTTACTGTAACTAAACTTTAACAACAACAGCTCATAAACCCTCACCAAAATATGTTTTTGACATCAATGAATGTTACAACTTTTTCTAACATAATAGAAATATGAAAAGCTTTTAAATCTTGTTGACATTATTCAGGATAAAGAAGTCGATTGTGGTGGTGCACCTCCAAGAGTTCTTGTTTTGGACGACTATTTCATGACGGAGGTTGAGAAAGTTGAGAAGGACCCGGACACAGGGAGGAGGGTCAAAACCAAGGTGTGTCTGACGTGCAGCAATAACAGAGTGGTGCCAAAGTGCACAATCTGAGAGCAGCATCAATTATTATTGTAAACATTAGAAAGAATGTAATACAAAAAAATATATTCTTGCAGGTTCTTGAGTACGAGTATGAGCCCGAGATGGAGGATACCTACCGGAGCAGCATGCTTAAAACATTTAAGAAAACTCTGGATGATGGCTTTTTCCCCTTCATCATTTTAGACACTATTAATGACAGGGTTAAACATTTCGATCAGTTCTGGAGTGCAGCCAAAACAAAAGGCTTTGAGGTGAGTTGTGTTCATGAATGATTCAAAAAAAAAATGTTACTCCAATCAACCCTGTGCTAAAGAGGTTTTTGTTTTTTCTTATTTCAAGGTGTACGTGGCTGAAATCACCGCAGACACTCAGACTTGTACAAAGAGAAACGTCCATGGGCGTACGCTTAAGGATATAATGAAGGTCTGTAAAAGCCGTTAGCACTTTCAGATACATTTATAACGAGTGAAGTCAAAAAAAGCTCATACATAAAACATACACATTCTAATGGAACATTTTGCACACAGATGTCCAACAACTGGGAGCCTTCGCCGCGTCATATGGTGCGCTTGGATGTCCGGTCCCTGCTTCAGGATGCTGCTATAGAGGAGGTGTGGTCTTTAGCGCATGTTCTCATAATATCATAGTTACCTTTATCAGTAACCGAGTAGTCTTTCATATATACACACTTTGTTTTAGTGCTGTGGTTCTGGCTGAACCAATTATCATTCTTGTCTGGGGGGGGTGTGGACTCATTTGTAGTTCTTTAAGCTAATCACAATCATCTTCGCCATGCTGGCCCAGGATGCAACTATTTTTAAAATAGTGTTGGAAGAAAGTGGAGAGAGAGCTGGATTGCTACTGAAATAGTCGCCAATGGCAGGCCTGACTAGTAACTGAGCCAAACTAACATATGTGTCTGTTATTAGGTTGAAATGGAAGACTTCAATCCGGATGACGAGCCCAAGGAACCCAAGAGAGAGGAGGAAGAAGAGGGTGATCTGGTAGGACAAAGAAAGCTTAAATTTATAGCCACATACGTAGTTTTCAGAATCATTTCCACTTACTTATATTTCCATCTACCACCTAAGGTTTTTCCAGTAAGTTAATATCAGCCATTAGTCGTTTATTCACATTGTTTTGTTTATTGAACAGGTGAGTTTTAAACAGATAAAATCTACAAAATGGGTTAAATTCATAGGAAATCTTACCTTCATTTATTTTAATAATATTTTGTGTAGTTGAATATTTATGTGATAATTATCAGATTTACAAGGAAGACCATGTCTCAATAGAGAAAATATGAGAGTGAAACGGTCAAAATCCTGTCAATCTTAAAATTAAATATCTAACTAAACAAGCAAGCTGCAGGGGTTTCTGTAGATGTTTCATTCATCTTATTGTTTAATACTTGAATTTGAAATCATTTTCATCTTAACATCAAGTTTTAAAATTCATGTGGTTGCTTAAAGAACCACCATCAGGAAAAATGTTTACCATTGTGAATGTTCACATTTCCTTTCACAATAAGGCACATTTTCAGCAAAAGACTGAAATGAACAAAAAAAGCTTTTCAATTTAAATAAAAAAAAAAATCACAATTGAACACGGCAGCATTGAAAACATGTCTGCCTAATCTGTTTTTTACATTTCTTGTTGTTGCTCATTCATTTTTTATTACGAAATTACAACCAATGTTATTTTTCTGCCAAATAAATTTGACAAAGATGACGTGAACATTGCTTTTGATATCAATGAAAACGTACAGAAACATTTATATTCACACACTTCAGTGTTGTCGTGGCTCCGATTTGATACATTTTCAAGTCAGATAATAACTTTTCTTATGTCAAACAAATATTCTGGTGAAATTTGAACAAATTATAGAAAAGTTAAAATGTAAAATTTTGTCACAGACTTCCTAATATCAATTAGGTTGCAGTGAAAGACTCTTCAGTTGGACCAACATATAAATGAAACCTTTAAAACTGTAGCACTAGTAAGATTTTGAAAGTTTCAAAGCGTAAATGTTTCCTATAGTACGACCTTCAGGGGGACTTCCTCCATGTGGAATATACAAAACTAACAATCCAGACTGCTCGGCAAATTGAATGAATTTGTGATCATGAAAGTCATTAAAAAGAAGGAAGAAAAAACCCAGCAGAAATGCACAATTGTCTAATAATCAAACACCTAACAACACATTTGCGTCACCTTAAAGCAGCTATAATTAGTATTTTTTATAATAATGTATCAGATGACAATGTGACGACAGTGTGAGAAAGGTCGCTCATAGAAGCTCACCTGAATCTGCAGCTCCACTCAACTTTAAGAAGCTTTCTAGTGAGTTTCAGTTCATTCTTTAGCTGTCTGTCCTACAACTCTTTTGGTTCACTTGGTTTAATAATGTCATTTTTGTTTCTTGTGTGTTTTAACAAATGTTATAAACTGACAACCAACCTCCTTACAGTTTACAGTTTATTTTTTCTTTTCTGTGCAGAGGCCAAAGAGATTATTGAACCAGTCTTATTAATTAAACTGTAGGCGTCATTGGTATAAACAGCTCGAAAGTGTGAGTGCAAATGAAATGCATAAATAACAGGAATGATCTCCAGTTGACATTATAAAATACTTTACAATGCACAGTGACTCATCTAAAAACAGTCGAACTTAAAGGTCTGCATGCATTTATAAAAAAGTGAAACTGCATTTATTCTGTCTCTAGACAGATAAAGAAGTAGTTTGTCTCAACTAAAAAGTTCATAAAACCTTAAACCTTTTTTGTAAAGATTATTAATGTGTGGTTCAGAATGAACAACCAAATATATGAAATATTATTTATACAGTACTGTTGTTTTTTAAATACACTTTATTACTGTTTGGTGTTTCATAGTAATTGACTGATGTTTTTTAGCGTCTCCTAAAAAAAAAGCTTCATGTATGAAAATTGTTGGCAGTATTTTATTATATAATCACATATACAGTACATGTGTGTTTGTTTGTTTTTAACTTGAGTATAATACAAACATTAGATCCTCTCCCATTCTTATTAACTGATAGAAAACAAATTGTTAAACATTTGGAGTCGAAAAGGTTTCCACAACCTGTAACTACAGTAGAAAATTGTTGTTTGTTCTTCATACAATACCACTTTCTTTAAACGTGACAACATTTTGACATGACTGTAGTGTGTGTAAACAACAAACACAATCAACTGTGATTTTTAGATATAATATTTTTAAATATATGTTACCCTATAGGGTTGAACTAAGAGCTCAATGAACACTCAGTTTAGAAAATGTAATATTTCTTATTTATTAGAGGAATAGGCAGTGAACCATAGTTTGTTGTTTATTTGTTGAAATATTTGATACTGCAGTTGCTACACCATTAACATTAAGTCATTGATTCATATGAGAAATACCTCTTTGAGGATCCTTCATTCAACTGATTAAAGGATGAAAATCATAGTTTTTTAATTTATTCAAAATACTGACTGAAATGGTTTAAGATGTGAACTCAGTGTTACCAAACACAGCCATTCTCAAATGCTGGGCAACGACCCATTGGTGGGCCTCAGCGCGCCATCTATTGGGCAGTGGAGGCAGTGCTAATGCCACATGGTTAGATCAAAATTATTATTATTTTATGTATTTATTTTGGTAAAACAGCTACTTATTTGTTTGAACTAACATAATTAAGAAATGTCAAATTAAAATGCAGAATTTCAATGACCAGTTTGAATATCACCAATCACAACAGAAAATACGACCAAGAATACATTAAATTTGGATTCCCAATGGCAGACAGCTCCAGAGACACTTAAACACACAAAACACCTGAGATGTGTTGGGAAGCCAAAAGAATATTATATGGAAAAAATATGCTGTTTCAGGGGCCCATGAATAAAAATGTAAAGCTGCTTTGATCATTGTTACAATCAGCCTGTTAAGACCTTCAGTTCTACACGTGCATGTCATCCCCCAACGCTCCCTTTCATTGTGATTGTAGCTGCAGTTAAAGGCTGAAGCCACGTCCACCCTCACTTTAAACCAAACTCTGTCTGAACTGCAGGTGTTAAACTGCAGCATTGTGGCACTGCACTTAAATCACACTGGGCGAGACTTTGAACCCTGTGAAGTTTGATTGCTGACAGCTTCTAATATCCAATACAACTAACAATTACAATAATGCCTCCAAAACCCTTATATAAAAAGTTTAGATTTCCTCTTTTGTTCTAAATCTTTCTTGACATCTTAGTTAAATTATTGTGGATGAAATCAAGAAACATTTACAACAAAAAAAGTTACAGACATGGGCATACGTGTCTCCATATAATCTAACATTAAGAAGGATTTTAGTCTCTGCAGTAGTTTGATAATGGGTACTGTACGAACACCTACATGGGAATGAAGGTAGACACATTTTCAGCTTCAAAAAACTCTATAATATACTGATTACAAATAGTTCTCAAATTCCACTGTGTCTGTATATGTACTGTAGTAGGGTTGTGCCGATGGACGATATCATTGTCCATCGTGATGCCACGTCCCCCACCCCATGCGCGCAGATGGCACTAGGGACGGGGGGGATATGACCCCCTCAGATTCATAGTGACCCCCCCACTGTCCCTACATAAGGTGACAAACATCGCCGGTAAAACGGAGGATTAATGTTCCGTTAGTTAGACTAATTTACATTGCAGCGCGCATTGAGAG